AATAGGGCATCTCAAAAGCATGTGTCTCTGTTGAAAAAAATCAGAGGCTTTGTAGCTATAAACCATCTCTAAACTCATTATAATGAAGCTCTGAAGCTTCAGCTCTGAAGAGCTAAACCTGAAATCACTGTTAGAATTAGCTTTTGCTGATAAAGGCCACATCATCTGAAAGAAGAGCTTTATTCCATGGTCAATATTGTATGCCTCAATAGCATGAACAGTCCATGCTTTAAAAATTTTTTTAAGCTCTTATAACATCTCAATTTCCTGTGATCATGCTCTTCATGGATGACAGGTTGACTAGTTGGCTGGATTTGTTTTAGTAGCTGGCATTGTCAAGGAGATATGGACAAATGGTTTCTATGCTAAGAATCTGGGAAATTCTGGGAATCAAAACAGAGCTTAATACAATTTCTGAGAGCCATCAGGGAATGCTTAAATTGAGTCTTCTAGAATGGCTTTTTCACAGGGATCATCACTGGAACAACTACTATGCTATGCTACTACCTGCTATGCATGGTGGATTTCCTGCCCTTGACACAATTGTTATATGTCAGCAGAAAGCAGATGACATCAGCCACAGTTGCTTTATGACACTACTATAGACAAACTTCAGATAGCTCCTTCAGGTCCCTTTCTGGCCTCTGACTCTAAATGTATCATATTCTTAATAAAACTATGGAAGCATGTAGGATAAACTCTACAGGAAATTGCAACTAAAAAGAAAAGCAGAAAGACATAACAAAAAAGCCAATCATAACAAAAGATTAACATCTTAACAACTCTGAAGGAGATTAATAACCTTTACAAGTTCTTTGGACATCATAATTGGATAGAGTAATCTCATTTAGTCAGTAAAGGGCACCTGATTTGTGTATCAGCATGAAACAGGTCTCCTCTCCATCTCAAGAGTTTGCCTTGAAAGGAAAATTAGTTTGTCTCTCTGGTCTTTAAAGTAGATTAATAGCTGCTTTAAGAAAAATATACCACCTAATTAAAAATTACAAAATAGATTAGGCCTGTGGAAAAAAAGTCACCTCTCTCTATGTCCTTCAAATCCAGATAAACATTTTTTATGAAATTTCACATTAACTTATTTGTTTCACTTGACTGACTTCCTATTCTTCTTCGACTCAATAAAGAGGACATGCACACTGGCAATATTGTTATTTTTCTTTAGAAAAAAATGTATCACTTAAAACTCTGAATTTCAAAATTACGCACTACAAAGCTAACAACAATACTTGAATACTAATGAAAACCCCAGCAATTCTTCAACTTTTCTATGTTTAATTGAATCAGATATTTCTGTGTATTGTGGGAATACATTTATCAGAATCAGCAGAGACCAAATGTTAATTATGAAGGCCAAGCACAAATGAATAATCTTATGTATAGACCCTGACACATTAGAACTGCAAAGCACTCTGCAGATCTTATTTTATGAAAATGTACTAAGAGCCCAAATGTATAGGCCCTTAGGAAGCAATTATCCCTAAAAGATTTAGCTATAATTCAATGTGAAATATTATAAGAGATTTCTAAAAATGGTTTCACAAAGAAGAGGATTATTTTACTTTAACTATGGAAATAGGGCCCACATGCTTCTCTGAATGACCTCTGTGCAGTTGTGGGCATTGCCTGGAGGGCAGATTTGAAATTGGCCTTTTCAGTCAATTAATACAATCCCCTATGACCAATAAGAATATTATAAAAATTAGGAGTGGCAGTTTGGCATTGTGGGGCTGAATGGCCCACATCACTATGAGGAATGTTCTATGCAATAAACACATTACATATGGAAATTTAAAATCACCTACTATTAATAAGTATTCAGAGATTCGTTACGAAAAGCTGTATTACCAAAGATGTGCAGATACAGTGAACAGTAAGACGAAACAACACGTTCCAATGTGCACAGCATGTCTTGTCATGGGTTTTATTTGTCACATGGGATCTAAAAGTGTTAAAACAAAGAATGCAAGAGTGCTTACATCATGCAAGAGTGTTCACATCATCCTCCCGATTTCCAGAGCTCGGATCTGGCCAATTCAGTCTCACCACACCTCTCCCACAGTTATAATCTGTCTCCCTGCTGCTTTGCCTCACTCCTGACTATGTGCTGCTACTACCTCAAAGAAGGGTGGCAGTAGCCCTGTGAGATAATATATCTAAAAATACATCTGGAAGCTTGAATCTTATCTTACCTATTAGACCCTACCATCAGTGGAATGAAATGGGTTTCTTACACCTTTTCCCTTCCGAGCAACTCCCTATTGTGAGATGATTTCAACAAGTGAAAAAGAAACATTAGCCATTGTGTTTTGTTGTTAAGTGTATTTCAGGATTCCATAGAGGTAATGATCTCAATTTTTACCACAGGATTTTATGGGATCCTTAATCTATCTGATCCTGATTACTGTATATTTATCAAATTAAGCTTGCAAATATCCCTGCACCACATTTGAAGTTTATTTACACTTCTGTTACTCCCTGAAGAAAATCTAAAGCAGATCAAATTCCTGATCAGCGGAATGCATCTTTTGTCAAACTGAATCAGACAATGTTAATTAAGAGAACAGCAAAAATGAAAGATTTCTTTTAAAAAAACTTTCTTGACAGAAACTGTCCTCAACAGACTCAGAAAGAATACCTGGACTCCTTCTGCTGGACAGGTGTTTACATTTGAATTAGCAATACATAGTGCAGTTCCCAGTTTGTGCGTGGAAGTGGTTAAAATAAATGTAGTTCCCTAGATCATGCTGAAAATAAAAGTAGTTGCGTTGATATTTAACCCTGCACCCCAGAGGCAAATGGCCTGTCCTACGTCTCAGACAATGGTCAGATGCCCACAGGGTGATCTGTGACAGAGGGGGGACTGGAGGGGTCTGTACACGCACTCTGCATGTAGCACTTACAATAGCTACTGAGTGCATACAAGAGGCAGAGGGCGGCAGCTAAGAACACCAGGGTTTCACAGGGGAGGTGTGTGCCAGGACAGCACAGTGCAGGACCTGTCAAGGGGCTCTGGCTGGATATGTCTTCCTCTGGGAGCTCTACCTCAGATGGCAGCAGGAGCGACCCAGGCATCTGCAGCCAGGCTCACAGCACTGGTGAGACCTGTTTGTAAGGAAGTCTCCGACACAACTTTCATCCCTACCAGACAGTTCATATTTTCCAGGCTGTATCTACACTAAAAAGGGCTCATAAGCTTATCATTTACGTGAGTGTTTAGGTCAGGATGAGTGCTCGTATGATGTGTATCAAAGCTAACTACTATTGCCAGTACTTCACCTGAGCATTTTAAAGTTTTTAAGGGCAAGAATACAATTTGACCCACCAACCTTTTAAAAAATACTCCAATGGACCTGTCCTCCCTATAGGCAACAGTAATCTGAACTGAGACAAACTCTTAAGAAGCTACAATATTAAAAAAAGGTCAACTTTATCAAAATTCGAGAAGCATTTCTCTTTCCCCTCCACAGACTCTCACCTCTAAAAGACTATGACTCTTACTTCAAAAAATATAAAAATGCCTACGACAGCCAGAAATGAAGTTCTTTAAAGATTAGGTGCTGAGAGAGCATATCAGGCTTACAATGAAATCCTAGTAACACTCCGAACTATCAAGTCGCTTCTTGCTCTGAAAATATAATTATTCTGTAAGCATTATGTCAGACAATATTAAATGTAAAATGTGTAGTTTAAATAAAACATTTTCTGTTTTCTAACAGAAAGACTCTGCGCATAACATTTTCAATGACACAGAAAAAACAAGTAAGCATATGATACATGAAAAACAATACTATGCGCAATAAGTAGCAAATTCAGTAAGCACTAACTTTTAGTGACACCAGATTCAAAACAAAACTGTTATTGCAGACAGAAACAGCCCTGAATGTGCTATTTCTGTTCTCTGTTTCTAATCATCTGCTTTCAGTACGGCACACCTAATTTTATAACATGCACCATAGATTCTGATGGCAATTATAAATCCACGGAACATACAGCACTTGCGTGACACACAGCCACTCTCCGTTCATTCATTTCTCTTTTTTTTTTTAAACTGAGAAACATCAAACTACACAAGGATTTACTTTTATTCCTGTACTTTTCCTTGGTCAAGTTGTTGTATGAATAATGATGTTTCCCAAATATAAAGAAAAAGGAGGCAGAGCAAAATCTCTCTATAAATGAGATACATTTGGGTCTTACTGTCTAAATCAAACAGTTTTAAAATGACAACACAGTATAAACAGAGTAACTTCTGTATTTATATTCCATCTCCACTGCCTATAAAAGAGATTTTTAAGAATATAGTGGTTGAAGAGGTGTGCACAATGCTTGCACATCTTACCTGGCATAGTCTCTTATTCTGGCTAGCGGTGAGATTGCTGGTTATGTAGCTATCAATTCCACTGACATTACAATTTCCCTTTCTCAAAGCAGTAATAACCTGTCACTTTACACTGTCCTTTCTCTGACCCTCGCCCGCCTCTCTGCTCATTTTTATTCTTATTGACAAGACTTATTATTCCTCCTCCCATTTCCAACTAGCTACCCTTTTGCAAATAGTAGTATCAACTACGTGGTCACTAGTAGTATCGGTCAACAATGTTATTAATATAGCACACACTGCTGGGAGCAGATCAAACAGCCATGCTTTAAAATATTAGTTTTGCAAAGGTACCACGAGGCAAATAGTTGCAGTTTTCTTCACCTTATAAAATGTAATATTGCAAGGACAAATCTCAAAAATTTAGTGTTAATTAGCAGCCCAATAATTTGGAGGATATGTTATTTTTTTCTTGTTGCTGTCATACGCAAAATAAAATAAAACCATAACAGAAGGGTGCTGTATCTGTGTTTAAAGAAGGGGTTGTTGGCAAACACCATAGCTCACTTCTGCCGAAATGTACACAACTGATATATGCAGCCCAGAAAGCTGGCACCAGGGGCTTACAACCTTAATTTGCCTGCAGGAAGAAATGGAGATTTACCTTCAGAGCACGTTCTTGATTGTTTTCAGCAGTCAGATGTCTCGTGTTGTTTGCTGAAGTCTGGTTCTGCTCTTTCAGATGATGAAGCTCCTGCTCCAGCCGTTTGCACTGCAACGAGGAAAGAATCCCATTAAGTAGAGGAGTGTGGGCATATTTTTTTTCAACAAGCCAAATGAATTAACGTAAATAACCCCATCACCATTTCTGCAGCGTTGAAAGCATCAGACAAAAGCAAGTTACAATCCCAGACCAGTACTAGAGCTACGTTTTTAAAATGTGCATCATTATTCAGTTTTTTCCTGGTCCAATTCTATGCCAGAAAAGCTTAGTATCTGATAAAGACATTTTGCAGAATGTTGTAAAAAAAGTCTTAGAAATGTTGAGTTGTATTTCTGCTCCTTGTTATGCCAATATATGGCTAGATTTTGGCTTTTATGCATTAAATAAGTGGATATAAAGGAAACAATGCATGCTTTTAGAAAAGCAAGCAAATGAAAGATCCTTCTCCCAAATCCAGGATCCAGCCTTTTATTGGAAAATATACATGAAATTTTTATACTTGCATTTTTCACGCTAAGGCGTTACTCTAATTCTTCAACACACACCACATATTGAAAGAAGTTTTAAGATTGTTTTCTTTAAATATTTAACTTAATGACAAAAAATGAAAAAATTAACACTTGCTACTGTGTGCATATACACGTCTGCTGTCAGCTGAGCATCTGTTTTAAAGATTAAAGATCTGCAAGTTGTGAGACAAATTATATTTCACTGGTTTTTATGGTAACCATAAAAGCTCTTGCCCAGTTACATTGGTTTGAAAGAGTAATTAGTTGCCAGCAAACAGTCCATTGCCTTATGAAAAAAATTGTTTTACACAAAAAAGCAAAACAAAACAGATAAAGTACCAGGAAGATGTAGTGGAACAACTATTAGAACTAGGGAAAAGCACAGTACCAGGAGGAGCATGTTACAACAGTACATTACAAGCAAGTAGTTCGGATATCACCACCAAAACCCAAAGCTGATAGACTGTTGGAACAAAACACAATTAATTGAAAAAGAAATATTTTAATAAATACTTTCTGAAAACACTAGCACAAAGGAGTAAGAACCATGATATAATGCCCATGTAAGCACAGCTGTTGCAAATGAAAGACCTGGAAACGTCAGTGTCCTGTGCTATCTTAGTGACTGTGGACGACACAGAACTGAGCTTCCCATCAGGTATTTACAGACTATTCCTGAGCAATTCAGTACGTAGGACAATGAAGCATGGCTCATGCAAACTCTAAAACAAGAAAAACTGTAAACCAGAAAGCTGCAGGACTGCAAATATTGTAACTGAGATCTAAGTAAAATAAGGAATGCTAAAGGATCTTGAGACAGAAATTTTGAAGACAATCCAATACATACAATTCCTATGCACGAAATAAGTCCTTAACAATGTCCTGCTCATCAGGTATCCAGCATAGTATATAAAACAGAATGATCCATTCCTATATTTGAATAAATTTTAAATATTCATAGGAGCCCGACACTACTGTTAAAAAATTCAGTTCACATATCTGTTATATCTCATTACTTCTGTTAGAAATCTGAGTTTATTTCTAATAGGATTACCTATTTTGAAGGGAGTGAATTTCTCTGGCCTACTGTGTTCTCTCAGTGTGTGTTGAAAACTTCCTTAATGTACACTTTCATTTTTATTGCAGGAAAAAAGAAAAAGACACTTACCCATAGGTAGAGAAATATAGAAAAAATGTTAAGATACACTTGATTGTCAATGTTTTTACAGACTTGAGATATTTAATGTCTGTCTTTATCTCTCAGACACACACACAAAATCACAAATCACAGAACTCCAGCTGTAATTCTTTTTCCATGTCCAGCATGAAAATTATGTGTTTGCAGACACGAGGGTGCTAATAAACCTATTGAGGAACTAAACCCAGATTACAAATTTTTTTTCCTCTACCAGCCTTTTTTCTCTAACATACATGTTCTAAACACCATTTAAAAAAACCCCAATCTACCACTTCAGGCATTATTATGACACTATAAACTACATCATGTAGGATCAGCAGACCACTCACTTTTCTGCTTTGCCAACATTGTTCTTCAAAACAGAGCTTTGGAATCCCCAGTGTGACAACAGCACTAGTTTCCTACATTAAATATTGTTAAAAAGGCTAAAATCTAAATTTACCTTTTAAACTTGAGTTTATATTCATGCTATTCTCTTGATTCCAAAAGGTATGCAAAATATGCCGTGCCAAACCTAGACACAGGACCACATGAAAAAAGATCTTGGTGCACAGCGCAGATTGCACAGCTAAGGGCACGAGTGCAATCTTATTCTGCACTCCAACTCACTTCTGTGAAGACAGGACAGTGAAATAACGAGAAGCAGTGGGACCCTCATACCTTGCAGAACATAGAGCATGTACCACAACGATGCAACATAGGCGACATAAAACAGATGAACCTCCCTATCAAGTCAACCTTGACATGATTACATTTACATCAAACTTGGAAACATTTTGTAATTCATCTTTCATTTCCACTAAGAATGTTGATATCTGCAAAAAAATTGGGCATATTCAATCAGCATATTTTCTTGAATTCAAGCATATATGCTTGAATCCAGTTTGCAGGCATCATTGAAAGAAATGGTGATCTAATTAGACCTTTGTGCCTAAATGTCATAGTATGTTGGAAGCAACATATTAACAGAAGATATTCTGATTTATTCCTGGATGTCTATGAAGCAAAATCCTTAATTACCCTGTTTGTGAAAGCATTATAATACTCTGTGTATGTCTTAATCAAATTTTGTGCTTTAGACTCTGATAACTGAACTACTTTTAAAACATAGATATAGCATACTAAAAGCAAGCATTCCAATTCATAAGAACAGAGCATATGAAATTTTAGCAAAAATTAGCTATAAAGAAAAGTTATAAAAGTAGAATTTAAAACAATGCAGCCCTTCTATTCATTTGAGCCAACATTTTTTGAATTCTGTGTCACCGGTTGTTAGCAAGGTCCAGTAAAAATAGATGTTCTTTAAAAGAACATGTGTTTTTATTGGTTCACTCCGGGGCTCTAAAATGCCAACAGCTGCAAGTAAGAAACTGGATTTCCTTCTGAAAACATATATAAAAATACTTTTTGGAGCACAGTGAAGAGAAGACATCATCCAACTCAGTACTGGCAAAAAGGAATTGCTGGATGTATCCTTTTAAGAAAGCTGAAAGCTAAAGGAAGTGTTTCATTTAAAATATTATGAAGAAGAATGTCCAAATTTTGTTATCCTGAACTTGTGAAAATTCACACTTGGGAAAACTTCAAACAGAATCCTCTTAAAGTCAGAGACAAAATAGTTTGTGCAACACAGGTTGCCTAAACACCTGATCTGAGGTTTAATTATGCCCTTAAACAGAAGTCCCAATTAATTCAACACTTTATGAAACACAGGCTGTTAAATGAGAACACTGCTTCTGTATGTCAGATACTTTGAGTACATTAAGGAATATGAGAGCATAGTAGACATATGTCAAAGAGAATATGCCTTGATCAGAACATGAAAGACTTTGCTGAGTAAAGAATATTAAAGACTCAGAAATGGCAACATATAATTTTATTAAGGTTTCCACAGAAACAATTCACTAAGAATTAGCATTATTGTGTGGTCTACAGTGTGTATTCAGAGTTCTGTAGCCAGAGAGGCAATAGTGAAGATACAAAAATCCCAAACCCAAACCCCACCCTGACATGAGTTTCCTTTCTTCTTTCAAACCCTCACGCTTGTTCTCCTCTCTGAATATATTTCCCTCAAAAAGTCTCTTACATTAGGTAGCCTCATTCAGGTGATAATGTACTCGACAGACAGTGAACCTCGTTAAGCCTACTCCAAGTGTTCCTTGAGAAACCATCACTGCCCAACTACACAGTTGTCACTACAACATCATCCATTCCCAGCAACAGGCACTCGATCTCCTCCTTAACTGTATTTTGACCATGCAACTCTTCTAAACACACTAAGTCTTTTGAAACAAATACCTCTGTACCTAACACAGGATATATCACAAGCAGCTAAAACACAAAATGAAAAGCAAAGCAGGCAACATGCCAAAAGAATAAGAGATTCAGACAGGAAAGCAAGAATACATAGCAAGTAAATCTATTTGTCCCTCCCATCTTAAAATTTAAACAGACTACTGGCGAGTCTTTTTAAATGAACATCAGGTAACAAGATTTAGCAGAATGAGGATGTTTGTGAGAGGCACTGGTTCAAGCCACAGTGGGTTCTGACCCCTTTCACTCACTATTCAGGTGAGAGTGCTGGAATGCCACAGGGAAAATCCAGACAAATTGCAAAAAGGAGCACCTGCTAAATGGGACACTGATGGAGAGGTCAAGAAATGGACCAGAAGAATATCACGGAGTAAAGTCCATGAGACTCACCCAGAAAGAGACTGTTAAAAGATGGCTCCAGTTCCAGGTACACAAAAGGAGTAAAAATGGTTTACAATGAATCAAGTATTTCAGAAGATAGAAAAATCAATGCAGACAACCACTTAATAGTGTTTGGCCTTTACTAGAAAATGAGGTTGCATTAACATATCAAACATAACTTTAGCACTTGTATAAACAAATCATCTTTAACATGCTGTCAGCTTTTTGGCATTTTCTTGCTCAACTTGTACCTATAACATGTTAACACGGTGTTACGGTGTCTGCCACATTTACACAGATTGATGAGGTTTTTTTTTGATTATTTCACATGATTCTTCTAGTGAGGTGTTCTGAAAGTAAAAAGTAGAGACATTATGCAAAAGTAAAGAAAAATTTGCAAGCCATTAGAGAAGTAACATTAGTAAGTACAAAGATGGAATACAGCAAAGCAGTAACATCAAGCAGAGCAAACCCCTGCCCCCCAACTATTTGGTCCCTGTGCAGTTTGTTTGTATGAAGACAACACCTATCCCCAGAGACCTTGTGCAGAAGTGTGTTTGACTCTCCACTACTCAGGTCGATCAGACTCGTCCTGTGCTTTCAAAGAGACATAAATGTTTTGCTGCACTGGGGTCCCTCACTCTCAT